CAGGGAGGGCATGGCTGTGAAGCTCCCCTGGATACCAGTTGGATTAGTTAAGGATGAGGCTTTAAATTAGTACGGAATCCTAAGAGGAGAAAAAGGGGGGTTGTGTGCTAGTTAAATTTGTGTGTTTAGTTAAGCTGGAGTCTGTAATTGATAGATGTAGGAAAGAAAATGCTACAGTGTCTGTGCATGCTCTAAGCACTTCCAGTGCTGGCTGGAAACCCAGCGTTTGTGGTAGCCATGGCAACCAGCATAAACTGCAAAAGGAAACTGGATGGTGCTCGGTCCCTGGGCCAACGGGGTGCTGTATTCACTGGTTAAAAGGAATTCCTTTCTTGGGGGCTGGTTTAGTGATTCAAGCTTTTTTTTTCTGCATATTTCAGAGGTAAAGGTACAAACAGTTAATTTCTTAGATTAAGACCTTGTGTCTAATGAAAGGTGAAGGTAAGTACAGAATATTGATAGCTTGTTAGGGTAGAGCAAAGGACAGTAGGTAGCGTTCTCCTGAGTAGGCTGTTGGGAGATTTTTAGGGCCATCCAGACCTGTAAGGGCAAACATGCTGTCTCTTCCACTCAGAGCCTGTCTTTTGAGGTCCTTAGGTAGTCTATTTGCAAGACTCATGCCATTAAGGATAATTGTGGGGGTCTAGCTTTATGTAGATTTGACTATGAGAACAAAGGTCTGGCTGAGTGAATGCTTTCACACCAGGGACTCACGGTGTGGAAAGGTCATCCAGTTGCCAGTACAGGAAAAGTCAGGTTTAAAGAATGATTTATATGCTGCTGGGATATTTTGAGATGAATCCCATTCTGGAAGGGAGAAAAGCCTTCACAAGATTCCTACAGAATTGACAGTGACTATTCAGGAAGCAGCTTCCCAAAGCCTTGCAAGAAGCCTAGAGACTGTAAGCTGTACTTTACTGCATAATGCTTGTGGTCACCAACAGTGCCCAAAGCCCCCCTACTTCTGCTGGTGCTAGTAATCTGCAGGGGATGGGGAAAGATTTCGGCCAGTGTGAGTGACCTTGGTAGGTCCGATGGCAGGTGGGGGATTGTGGCGGGTAGGAAACAGAATATGCCATGCAGACAGAGACTGAGTATGAAGTTTTACTAAAGAGAGGTGTAGGGGGAGAAAGGGAGAGGAGGAAGAGAGAGAAAGAGAGGAGAGAAGAGGAGGGAGGAGGGATGCAGAGAGCTGCCTCTTTAGAAGAATGGCCGGCAGAGAGAGAGAGAAAGAGAAGGGAAGAGAGCAGAGACCAGCTTGCCTCAGTGGGAAGGGGAAGATTGGGAGTGGGTGGAGCTTGTCTCTTAAAGGAACAGGGTACAAACACGGAAGGCTAGCAAAATCATAACATTCCCATCTTCCTCTTATATTAAAAGACAGGTTTAGGGGATGAGGGTGTCAAGTTCTCGAGACTGCTTCCTGCTGATTTGTGGGCACTGAAATCTTGGGGAACCTGAGAAAGCTGGGATTCTGGCCACATCCTGGGGTAGCTTCACTGCTCTCCAGGATTTGTAGTGTGGAATTGTCTGGTGTCTTTTGGACCTGGTGAGGTGTTGACAAAGCAGAGGACAGGGTTAAATTTAGGAAAATTTTTTTTTCTTTAGGTACTGGTGATTTAAGGGGAGGATGTCAGGGAAGGGGACCGGTGGGAAGACTTGGGCTCTTAGGGCCTGGTAATTGAGGGGGTGGGTGCATCTGACATGTTTAAGGTGATCCTCCAAGTTGGCTCCCTGGAACTCACAAGAATTCTTTGAGTTTGTGAAAACATAAATTTTAGACATATACATTGTATAAATGGAAGTATATTTATGCCAGAAAGGACTGTGACAGATGTTTTTGCACAATGAAAACCATCTTTTAGGTAGAAAATGACCCAAGAGAATTTAAAGTCTTGATCTTGCAGTATAGGAGTGGTAATACTGTGCCAGAGTTAGATTACTAGCTTATCAGAACCTTATTGATGAGTGTTAAGACTATGAACAGTAGCATAATGAGAGGGAGAAATCTGATAGCTTGCATTTGTACACCTTAAAACATTTTTTTATATTCTGAAACTCTTGTTCTCAGATCTTTACAGCGTGCAGGCACACACTTAATAACTTGCATTTCTGTGCCTTAAACACCTCGTGTTCGAGCTTTGCATCTCAAACACCTTTTATGTAAGCATGGTAAGAAGTTGTCCTGAAATCTGTTTTGTGAGGTTGTCCTTTTTAAACTGGGAAACCTCCCAGCCATCAAACTGCATGATAGATCTTGAGAAGGTTAAAATTTTTCTTGATTTATGGATCTAAAAAATGACAGAGAACTTACTTGATTGGGTATCTGGACAGCCATTCTCCAGGGTCCTCCATGATCACTGAGGGCAGCAATTTCAGAGTTGCCTTTGCCTTCTGGTGTTAGTGCAAGGCCTGCCAGGCCTCAGAAGATGCTGTGGGTTAGGAATCTGTAGGAAGACTAGCCCACCTTGCCCTCTGCTACCAGGCAGTCAATTCCAGTTCTCCTTTGTTCCCTGTCTGGAGATGTTCAGCAGTTCAGATTAAAGGCAGTTCTTCCTAGTGGTTAGCACTTTTGCTTGAAGTGAATTATGGATGGACATTGTTCTGTGTCCATCTGTCTTCTGTCTTCTTTCGAGGAAATGGGGTGGTGCTACTAGGAGCCAATCTGTGCCTCTGTTACGAAAAGTCTTTTAATAATTAAACATTCAAATGCCATATTTCCCAGATCTCTGACCATTTGAGGGCTGTCTTTTGAGTACATATAAGTTATATAGTATAGGATCTGCCTGAAGAGCTGGATTCAGGCTAAGAGGTTGTGAAGGAATATTTGCAATACTGTTTGGCCAGTAGCTTAAGTGTACTGCTAGCTAGCTCTTACATCCAGAATTAATTTATTTCCATTATTTTATATTTTACCATGAAGTTCATGGACTACTGGCAAGGTTCCAGCTGGTAGCTCATGTCTTCACGATGCCCTCAATACAGACTTCGAGCTCTGTCTCTCTCATCCGTGGGATCAGCATCATCCATGCCCTCTTCTTCCCCCGTGGGATGCCATTTATAAAACCCCCACACCCTCCACCTGGCATCTGACCTAAAGGGCCACAAATTTGTTTGCTTTTGCAATTAAATTTGGCCTCAATATCCCTTACCCAGAGAGCTGCCAAATGGCACCTCAGAACCTAAGATTGTTCAACACTTACAACTGCTGGGAACAATCGGGAAACGGAAAGAGATTCCACTTCTCTGTCAAGCTTTCTCTCATCTCCATTCCAAGCCCTGTTTGTTTTCGTCTGCCCCACCCCAACCATACTGTGTGAATGTTCTGTCTTTTGTTTTGTTTTGTTTTGTTTTTTGAGACAGGGTTTTACTATGTAGCTCTGACTGTCCTGGAACTAGCCCTTGTAGACCAGACTGGCCTCAAACTCACAGAGATCCACCTGCCTCTGCCTCCCGAGTGCTGAGATTAAAGGCGTGCGCCATCACCGTCTAGTCTAATATTCTGTCTTTTTAAGTTACCATTGATGGATCTGTAGATGTGGGAGCTGGGAGACAGACAGGGGAGGTGAGGGAGAGAGCCAAGGAGTAGGCCAGTTGTGGCATGCACACACGCCACGCACACACCTTGAGGGCTGGCGTATCATTCAGCTCTCTCCTGCAGGGTCCTCTATAGCCAGAGTTCAGAAATTTTCTATCTCTAAGCCTTATTTGTTCTAAGCTTACTTGCATTCAGCTTCACAGGGATTGGAGTATCTTTTAGGTATGGGCTGTATTATATTGTTGTTTTATGCCGTTCCACTTCAGTGAAAAGCTGACTCTAGAATTGGGTTTTGGCTCTGTCCTCTAGATGCAGGTGTACTTGCTTAAAGTTTCCTCCAAAATCTCTGTCCCATGTCGGGTGGGTCACCCGATTATGTGACGGGAAAAGGAGAGCAAAACTGGACAAAAGAACAGACTCTTCCCACCAGGGACCGTTGCTACTCATCTCGTACTCTTTTTGGTTTTGGTTTAAGTCTCTAAAACTTTTGCTCAGGTATGAATCTTAAAATTTGTAAAACTATCATGTAAGACTTCTGTACATCAAAATGTATAAGTATATTGGGTATAGTTCAAAATCTGTAAAATCTGTAACAAAAGGGTTAGTTTCAAACTTGTAACACAGGGGTTGACAGTTAAAAACCTATACAGACCATGTGGCATGACACTATTTTGGGAAAGGACAAAGTGGGAGCCTCTGTTTCCTTCGCCCTTCCCCCAATCTCCTTGACTCTGGGCTCAACAGCTGTTGTCTTTCTCCTCCTTCTCCAAGACATACCTTTAGATACATCACTTCCTTTATTGGCCTCCCAGGTGGAGCCATGAGTGTGGGTCACTCAAACCCCTCGATAGCCAAATACCATCCCCATTCATCATCCAATTACAAAACCCTACCAATCGCATCACCCAGGGTCAGTGCCCACTCTCTCTCCACAGTCTCGAGGTATTGAAACCTCTTATTTCTGACTCATAAGAAAAGACTTTTGCCCCCCGCACATCCTCCCCTTTAACACTACCATGCTTGCAGTTTAAAGAAACCCAATGGAACATACCTACCACTTGGTTCAGTCTCTCCTACTAACTCTTCAGTGGTTCCTCTCCACCCCAATCTCTCCTCTCCACCATCCCCTCAGAGCGATGCCTTCTTTTCCGTTTCTCTTGATCCCTAATCACAAGATATCTTTGCCTTTACTTGGACTGACCTGGACACTCACCTTCCCACCCAAGTCTGCCTTGCCCTAGGATTCCAGCACAGCTTGCATCTATTTGGGCCAGGCTTTGGCCTCTGATCTACTCTCTTTGTCTCTTCCTAAATCTAAGCTTATACAATATATAGATGATTGCAGCTTAGTAATTAGTCACCTATTATAATCAAACTTGTAGTCACATTAGGTGAGTTTTTTTTGTTCCTGTGATGAGACCCCCAAACAAGACCACCACAGAGCCAGTATCTGATGCAAGCCCACACGGTTTTATTGACTACAAACTCGAGTTTGGATCATCATCCAGCACTCCGACGGCGCAGGTGGAGCCAACCAGTCTTGAACCTTTGAAGCAGGGGGTTTTTAAAGGGAAAAGCCTCCAGCAGGGTGGTACAGCCTTGGCGTTACATGATTGGATACAAATTCAGTAAGGGTAGGGGACTTTTGAATTCATTGGCTGGGTCTAGAGGAGTTTCCAAACAGCAATTATCAGGTGCCCACAAGGACATCTCAAGCAAGCATTGTTGCTAGTCATTGGCTGGCCACCGGGTGGGGTCACTTTGACCGGGGGCAGGCACAGTTTGTGGTTTTTCTTAGAAATGTCATTTTGACTTTAACTGAAGCTGGGTCAGCCCTAGGTCAAGTGCAGCTAAAATGGAGTTCTTTCTCAGAATGGAGTTTGTCCTGCTCCTTCATTCTCTTTCTTGTGCCTGTGAGAGCCCAATCATGGGTCTCGGTTTTGTCCCAGCTCATCCGATTCCATCAAGCCCCTCTGAGTTTCCTCTGTCAGGGTTGATAACGAGCCTCTCCTGTGACATGTTACCACCGATTGGCATCCGGCAACCACTAGTCGAATAGTTCCAAGTCTTTCTTTGAACTGTACCAGCCTACTTAAAAGAACTTCCCATCCTTCTCCTCTGTAGTCTTCTTTGAGTGCGAAGGGATCTGCAGGTCTGGCATGAGTGTAAAAGATTCAGGAGACTATGCCGTCAACCTTAATGGCAGCGGGTGTCCGTCAGCAGGGTGAGGAAAGGTCCCTTCCACCTGGGCTCTGGCGATGCCTTCTCACATAGACCCAGTGCCCTGGCCAGAACCTGTGGGGTCAGGAGGCACACCAGACTCATAAAGGATCCTGAGCTTTGGACTCCTTGTGTGGCATCAAGGAGGTCTCTATCATCCAGCTCCACCAGGAGATCTGTCTGCAGGTTGGGAATAATAGGGGGTTGGGTCCTAAACATAATCTCAAAGGGTGTCCATGCCATCTGATGGGGCAAGTTTCTAACCCTAAACAAGGCAAAGGGGAGGAGGATCGCCCAGTCTGTGCCACTCTACAGGGCTAATTTGGTTAAGGTCTCTTTTAGAGTTCTGGTCATTCTTTCTACCTGCCCTAAACTCTGGGGTCTGAGAGCACAATGTAATTTCTAATCAGTCCCCAGTGCAGTGGCTAAATTCTGACTTACCTGGGACACAAAAGCTGGTCCATTGTCTGGTCCTGTCACAGTGGGAAATCCATACCTGGGCCGGGTGTCTTCTAGGAGCATATTTGCCACCTCCTGTACTATCTCGTGCTTGGTGGGGAATGCTTCCATCCAGCCTGAGAAGGTGTCTATACGCACTAACAGATATCTCTGCCCATACTTGCCAGGTTTAATTTCTGTGAAATCTACTTCCCAATACACACCAGGCTTCTTTCCTCTGAGCCGGGTTCCAGGATTTTTAGGACTGGCAGCAGCATTGGTCAGCACACAGGCCTTGCACTGGGAGACTATGTCTGCAATTTTTTGCTTTCCATCTCTGATTTTAGTTTTTGAGTGTCTCAACAGATTTTGCATCCTACAAATCCCCACGTGAGAGGAGCGGTGAATCTTTTGGAGCAGTGTCTACTCAGATGGTCAGGCAGAATGATTGTGCTGTCTGCTGATCGCCACCATCTTTCCAGGTTTTGCACCATGGGGAGGGACTTTATCCAGGCCAGATCTTCCCTGTGTATTTGTGAGTTTCAGGTAAGGCAGGGGATCCTGGTTCTACTAAGGTTGCACTGCTACTTCCTGGGCAGTTTTATCTGCCAAATTGTTGGGCCCATCCCCTTTCTGGTGTCCTGGACGGTGCATGATGGTCACTTTTTTAGGCTTCCATAGGACCTTGAGGAGGGCCAGAATTTCTTTATTATTTTTAATAGATTTTCCCTCCGCAGTCAGTAGTCCCCTTTCTTTATACATCGCCCCAGGGAGATGAGCGGTGCAAATGCAGAGCAGCTATTGTCTTGTCTCAGTTCTAGAGCTTTGGTCAAGGTCACCCATTCTGCCCATTGAGTGGAAGTGCCTGTAGGCGTTGGCTCCGATCACCTCCTCTGAAGTGGTCACTGCCCCTGCGTCCCTCTGTTCATCTTGTACAAAACTGCTCCAAGTGTACCGGGTGACGTCCACATCAGGCAGGGGAGTGTCCCTCAGATCAGGTCAGACACAGTATTACCTAAGCCAAGATTCCAGAGAAGTCATGCAAAGGCACTTCCAAGTCTGGGTCAGGTAGTGGGGTGTCTGGGTTCAGGGCTGTGGGCACCTGAAACGTTATTCTGGCGGGGCTGAGTAACAGTGTCTGACACTGAGTCATGCTGGCGTTGCTCAGCAACCTGTCAGGAGCCTGCTGGAGGACTCCTTCTAAAGCATGAGGGGTAGTTATGATAAGATTTTGTTCCAGATTCAATTTATCTGCATCCGTTACCAGTAAGGCCACAGCTGCTATTATGTGGAGACAGGGGCCACCGGGCGGCCACAAGGTCTAACTTCTTGGACAGATAGGCCACAGGTCATTTCCAAGGACTCAAGATTGGGTCAAGACACCTTTAGTTATTCCTCTATGCTCATCCACAAATAAGTGAAAAGGCTTAGTCACATCCGGCAGACCCAACGCTGGGGCTGAGAGCAGATTTTATTTGAGTTTGTCAAATGTCTACTGATGATTTTCTGTCCATAAAAGGTTCTTGTTGCAGGAGGGCCTGTTTGTTCGTCCTGGCCGCCCGGCTAGTTTAGCCCCAAAATAACCACATAGAAACTGTATTAATTAAATCACTGTTTGGCCCATTGGCTCTAGCTTCTGATTGGCTAACTCTTACATCTTAATTTAATCCATTTCTATTAACTGTGTATTTCCACGAAGTCGTGGCCTACCAGCAAAGTTCCAGTCTATCTTTGGCGGTGGATCCATGGCGTCTCCCCTGATTCTGCCCTTCTTTCTCCCAGCATGCCATTTAGTTTTCCCTGCCTAAATTCTGCCCTATCAATAGGCCAAGGCAGTTTCTTTATTCATTAACCAAGAAAAACAACACACAGACAGAAGGACTCCCACACCAGGTTCTGCCCTTCCTTGGTGGCCACTTATAGAGGTTTAGCCAATTCAGCAAAGCATGGAATCCATAGCGGCAGAAGCCTGCTGTACCTAGGAACTCGCTCACTTGTCTAGCCGTGGTGCGGGTCGGGGTCTTAAGCACCATCTTTTTGCGTGCTTCTGAGAGCCACCACTGTTCTTCTGTCAGGAGGTACCCCAGGTACGTTACCTGCTGCATACAGATGTGGGCCTTCTTGATTGAGGCACAGTACCATTGGTCCCACAGAGTTCGCAGTAGCCATTCAGTCCCAGTCAGGCAAGTCTCCTGATCCATGGCTGCAATCAGTAAGTCATCTACATATAGAAACAGACTGACACCTAGGTTCTATGCCCAGTACTCACCCAGGTCTTCATGTAGAACTTCATCAAAGTTAGTGGGAGACTTTTTGAATCCATATGGTAGACTGGTCCATGTCAGCTGACTGCTGATCCCAATCTCTGGGCCATGCCATTCAAAGGTGAAGTGTGGTTGGCTTTGGGGGGCCAGAGGCACACTGGGAAGGGCATCTTTTAGATCTAGAACAGAGTACCACTGTTAGTCCTGGGGGCAACAAGGTGAGTAAGGTATATGGGTTAGGCACTATGAGGTGTATGTCAATCACCCTATTGACTTCCCTTAAGCCCTAGAGTGTAGGCAGAGGCTGCTTGTTCGGTTCTGGCCTTCCAGACTAGAAATAATCACACAGAGACTGTATTAATTAAATCAAGCTTGGCCTATTAGCCTGTGCCTATTTCTAGCTAGCTCTTGCATCTTAAATCAACCCATCTCTATTAATCTGTGCATCACCACGAGGTCACAGCCTACTGGCAAGGTTCTGGGGTCTGTCTCCTCCAGCAGCTCCTTGGTGTCTCCCTGACTCCACCTACTTTCTCCTCCTCTATTTGCTTGGAATTCCCACCTTGCCCTATTCTGCACTGCAATAGGCCCAAAGCAGCTTCTTTATTATCAAATAACATTCACAGCATACAGAGGGCAATCCCACATCACTGGAGTGGCCTGTAATCATTGGTATGAGATTTCTTAATAGGCAGTAAAGGCATGTTGCAGGCCAATTGCATGGGCTGTAGGACTCCCAAGTCTGGCAGCCGCCTGACATGTGGGATGATGTCTTTCTTGGCCTCTAAGGGCATAAACAGGGATAACGTACTGCCAGTTTCATCCCTCCTGTTTGGCCCAGGCTGATGGAAACTCCTGAAGTCATCTCTCCAACTGTGGATCAGGTTCAAGGCCATTGGTGCGGCCTATACTCATCAGTCAAGCTGCTAGTTACCAGAACGTGAATAGGTTTTCCGTCTTTACTGAGCAGCTTGTCTCCCTCACCAGAAAAATGTGTCTGGGCCTTCATTTTAGCCATAAGTCATGGCCCAACAAGGGATAATGACATTCTTGGATTACCAGAAATGAGTGGGTTACCCAGCCCATTCCTAAGTCCATCATTGTTCGGGTGGTCCATGTAAGGTCCATGAATAAGACTTTGCCCCTTTGGCCCCTTGAGCCCAGATCTTTTTATTTGTCATGGGCCCATCGGCCTTTAATAATACCAAATTCTCAGCTCCTGCATCCACCATGAAGCCAGTCTTTCCCCCTCCACTCTCAGGGTTACCCTGGGTTCAAGGAGGGGAGCCAAACCCCATCTCTCCTCGCCACTGTCCATCTCTAAACTAAGGACCTTGCTGCTGTCCTTAGCTTTCCCCCATGGGCATCATCTCGCCCAGCATCCTTCCTCCTTTCAGGACGCACACGGATTCTTTTCCAGCCAGGGCCTTCATTTACTGTCTTTTGGTTTCTTGTCCTCTCCCCAGCACCCAGGCACCGTAGCTGCCATCTGTGCTCCTCCGCTCCCGCTGTAGCAGCCACAGCACACTAGAAAGGTGATGGTTCTCCTCTGCTCTTCCCTCTGCACTCTCCCTGCCACTGCACACCTTCTCAGCCACTGCAGCAAACTCTCCAATGTGGAGGGCCGGACCACATTCTCCATTGCTTCTAGGAACAAAGGT